TCTTTTTATTTTGAAGCTTGTTAAACATATTAACTTTGTAGCCTTAAATAATAAATAGTAGGGTGAATACCCTGTTTGTTGAATTACAATGGATGTTCCATATCCTTTAATGTACACTCAACATACTGTAAAGCTTGTTATCCTGCTTACCCAGTAGCTATGTTAAAAACCTGGTCACAGCCCTATCTTCCGTAGCATTAAGAATTATCTGATATTGTTAAAAATCACATGTGACTGTTGTTTCAGTCTGAGGCCTGCTACCAGTATACTGATGTTTAACTCGGGTATTGTTCTGTGCTACAGGTATCATGGTTATCATCATCAATCTTTATATACCCCTTTCAGAGATCGATACTACATTTAGAAATTAGACAAAATTATCATATATTTTAGTCAATGCTGAGTTTACAGTAAGAAAAGTGGATGCACACTTCGTTACTTAGTCACCAATTAACAAACAGTTCATATGTTAGACACAGGACGTTGTGTGCTGCACATTTCAGGAAAAATCATAATCTCAGCTAGTGGTACTGTGGATTTGAGCCAACTGCATGGTGTCAAGGATAGTCTCCAGAAAGTTTGTTATTCATGTTGTCCAAGGTTATGAAACAGTCAATGTCACATATATAGTTATTACATCATTCAAGAAGTCTGACAGATTCCATTCTGTCAGAATCAAGCTAGATAAGCATTTCCCGAAAAACAAGTATCGTCTCTTTCAATATTTCACAACCCATTTTTGTGAGGTCAAGAATACTTTCTAGTATGTCAGACTTTTAGTATGTGTTTCACCCTTAATGTCGGAACTGCTGAAACATCCATAAATCTACTCCCTCTATAGAAGACACATGATAATAGCATACCACACCCTTATTAATATGAATACAGAACTATGTTTATTCTGTGATCACCCAGCAAAGCCCAAAACATTACTTTGCCTCAAAGTCAAAGGTGTTGGGACTTAATGTTATGTTACAGGACAATGAAATAGCATATACTGAGGACTCTTAAATGAGCAACAATTTATATACATGTATATGGCTTGCTGTGGGCAGGTAGCACAGTGATAGCACACTTGCCTGTCATCTAGAGTTTGGGGTTTGATTCCTTGAGTGTCTGTCAAAAAGTGGCCAGAGTGATTAATGTAAATGACAACCTTGTTCTGCAATTGTTGTAAAATAAAGTTAATGTGACAATATTGCCTTACAACTGCATCATACAGCTGTTCTGAATACAGAAGTGTTGAACTCAAATCATGGTTATGGATAAATATTAGAAAATGAGACAAATGAGTTGCATGTACCGCCTTCCATTAATCTAATTTTGGATTTTGGATAAAAGAATGTAGTATAAGTATATATATTAAGACATATGTATTCTCTTAATGGGTGCCAATATTCACAAGAATTGATATATGTGGCATGCAGGATTACAAAAAAAAACAACTTGTAGCATATTTTTTGAGGATTTTGATACTCTGCTTGTTAAGACTGTTCTTAGTGTAATATTTACATGGAATCTAACACCCTATAGTTTAATGCTGTAGATAATCACCTATGTGCTAATGTCTGATGACTTATGTAACCTATATATTTCAATACTAATTTCCTGACACAAAGTGTTTAAGCCATTTGTTATCAGAAGACTGTTACCTTTTATTTCCTGACTTTAGGCAGTAATACTGACAGGATGTTTTCCCTGTGATCTGTAGACCCTGATATTAATGTGTCACTTTTAACACCCTCACTTCATCCATAAGTTTAAAACCTTTCCGATAATAAACATCCCACTTTTGTTCTGTGATCTGTTGAAATTGTAATGGCTGATCAGAATGGCCTGTGGGCAGTGTTGATGGTGTTAGAAATAGAATGTGTGACTGGTTATCTCTGCTGGACAAAACACCCAGGCCTTAGTGTTACACAATTCTTACAGTCATAATTATATACACATTGGACATGGCTGACCTTCAGGTGGTCATACCATGGTCTTACTGGTTCCATCCGCTGACCAATAGGTGGTCTTAGCACAGGTCCCCCTGGTCATTATCCTAGGTGTAAGTCATGTCTCATTACCTCTGTATGAGGTAACAGATTTCTGACCATTTGGCAGCTAGGTACCATGGTAAATGGATTTGGTCAGAGATGGTTGTTATTGAGTCTAATTTATTGGAATGGTCATTAGTAATTTATAGTTGACCAGGACTAAACATATTAAATAGAAGTGTGCCAGCTACATTAGATAGTGTCATACCTAATGTAATGTGTCAGGAACAATTACAGAGGTCCTAGCACACAGACTCCTGTCAGTAACAACAGAGGTCCTAGCACACAGACTCCTGTCAGTAACAACAGAGGTCCTAACACACAGACTCCTGTCAGTAACAACAGAGGTCCTAACACACAGACTCCTGTCAGTAACAACAGAGGTCCTAGCACACAGACTCCTGTCAGTAACAACAGAGGTCCTAGCACACAGACTCCTGTCAGTAACAACAGAGGTCCTAACACACAGACTCCTGTCAGTAACAACAGTGGTCCTAACACACAGACTCGTGTCAGTAACAACAGAGGTCCTAGCACACAGACTCCTGTCAGTAACAACAGAGGTCCTAGCACACAGACTCCTGTCAGTAACAACAGAGGTCCTAACACACAGACTCGTGTCAGTAACAACAGTGGTCCTAACACACAGACTTGTGTCAGTAACAACAGAGGTCCTAACACACAGACTCTGTCAGTAACAACAGAGGTCTTAGACACAGATTCCTGTCAGTAACAACAGAGATCCTAACACAGACTCCTGTCAGTAACAACAGAGGTCCTAGCACACAGACTCCTGTCAGTAACAACAGAGGTCCTATCACACAGACTCCTGTCAGTAACAACAGAGGTCTTATACACAGACTTGTGTCAGTGACAACAGAGGTCTTACACACAGACTTGTGTCAATAACAACAGAGGTCCTAACACACAGACTCCTGTCAGTAACAACAGAGGTCCTAACACACAGACTCCTGTCAGTAACAACAGAGGTCTTACACACAGACTCCTGTCAGTAACAACAGAGGTCCTAACACACAGACTTGTGTCAGTAACAACAGAGGTCTTAGACACAGACTTGTGATACACGGGCATCATTCTGATGTACATAACCTCAAATTGACAGGATGTTTGGCCTGGAGTGACTAGCGTTGTATGATAAAACCAATGAACAGCTTATATTCAGCTTTAGATTTCTCTCAATTCAATTGAAAATGATCCCAGACTAAGCTTGAATCTCAGTAAATGTTTGTGATTAGGGGAGGTCAATCATACGAAACATTGGATTTTAATATTTGGGTATAAGTATTCATTTGTGAAAGCTCAAATCTTGGTTTCAGGTCAAATGTTTACCAACTAGAGGTCTGTCTTTCGTATTTAAAGCCAAAATTTGCAAGCACAGTGTTTGAACCTTAATGGTGTATAAAAAAAATAATATACAGTTTCATCTTCTATTAAAAGATGCATCTGATATGATATGCAGGTTGATTTCCTGCGGAATCATTTAAGATTTAAAGCGTGATTATGGCTATATCTGGAGTCGTTGGACTGTAAATGTTGCCTAGCTTGTCTGGGAGCAAATAGCATTATAAGAGCAGACAGGAAAATGTCATTAATGAGCTTTTGTATATATTGGACACTGAGGAATGACCTGACTACATGTTTCCTACAGCTAATACTAACTAATAACAGGCCATGTCACAGGGCGTTCCCACATTTGTCAACTTATTATATGTTATTCTATCTAAAATGTTGTCAAGTCAGCAAGTGGTTTTTTGTAAAGACAAATGGAGTTGTGATCTGGCAGATAATACTGTTAATATTTCTGCCATGGAATTATTAAAAAATTTCGTCATTTTTTGCTGTTAATGCTTTATGGACTAAAATCTATCACACTGAAATTTTGTTTTGAATTTGTGTTAGCTCTTGGTCTTGTCAAAGTAGAAGCAGTGTAGGTATTTCACAAACCTCCAGTTTGCATTATGAAATAAACTTTAATAGGTAAAAGATAAGAAAGAAATTAAAAGAAATTTTTATATTAATTACCAGGTAGGTAAGAATAGATTAATGAATGATTGTCCTTTCATTGCACATGTACTTTACTGTATGTTCATTGGCCTGATAAGAATTGTTTTTCATTTGAATTACTGTGCAGTCCAGTATGTAATTATAGTGCTTGTCAGTCTTATTCAGAATGACATTCTTTTGCACATCTTTAGTAAAAGATACAGTGACACAATATGGTAGCATACATCCATTCAGTCTCAGTGTTACAGAAAGGTGTCATACAGAAGAAATTAAAGTATGGCAACATACATCCATTCAGTCTCAGTGTTACAGAAAGGTGTCTTACATTAGAAATCAAAGTATGGCAACATACATCCATTAAGTCTCAGTGTTACAGAAAGGTGTCATACATTAGAAATTAAAGTATGGCAACATACATCCATTCAGTCTCAGTGTTACAGAAAGGTGTCATACATTAGAAATCAAAGTATGGCAACATACATCCATTCAGTCTCAGTGTTACAGAAAGGTGTCATACATTAGAAATCAAAGTATGGCAACATACATCCATTCAGTCTCAGTGTTACAGAAAGGTGTCATACATTAGAAATCAAAGTATGGCAACATACATCCATTAAGTCTCAGTGTTACAGGTAGCATTCATCCTTCAGTCCTACATAAGTAGCATACAGCCTTAAGTCTGGCATGGAAAGGTAGCTTGCATCTTTCAGTCTTACATAAAATAGCAGCATACACCCTTAAATCTGGCATGGAAAGGTAGCTTGCATCGTGTTTTATGAATATAACAAGCATATTTCATGGTCTTGTAAAAAGTGTCTTTAGACAGAAGACGGGAAACCAATAAAAACTTCATTCTGGAGTCGGAAATTTTGCATGGCAATTGTGGTTATATTACTGCCATTAACAGGAACCTATCAAATTTCTATATTTCAGAGTTTACCAGCACTTTGAGGACCTTGGCCTTTTTCTGTTCAATGATGCCCTGGTCATTACAAGACGCACATCCAGACATTTCCCATTCACGCGTGCAGTTGAACATACATACAGGTTTGAGACAAGTTTGTCTCTTGCACGCCTCAAAGTCATCGACATTGACAACACTAAATGTAAGTAACAAATTTCATCTTTATTAAATTTGGCTTCTTTACTGTCAAGTGTGTGCCAGTCTATCTGTCTGTCTTTTCCTTTGATCTTTTGATCAGACATTTCATTCTGCTGTATTAAGTCACTAAGAGAACTAGACATCTTTACCATGGTTTTATAGGAACCCATAGATAGTATTTAAGTTAGATTTCATGTGTCTGTCCAAGTACTTAATGAACTTTGATTTATATAGGTTGCTGTAACCTACATTTTTCACGTTACTAGATTACATGAGGTTTCATCTTGCTTCACCCTATTTCTATTTTAAATAAGAATGTCCCACATATGTTTAATCAATTTCTTTCTAGTTGATTTGTGCTACGATATGTAATTGCACATCAGAAACGATTGCCTATATATAATTCATTGGTTTAGAGCTGTCATATGACATCATTATGAGGATATTTAACCAGCAAACCTCAGTAAAGTTGGAAAAGAAATTACCTTGCCCAATTTTCAGAGGGTCTAATTATCACCATTTTATATTTGATTAGCTGTATTGGGTTGACAGAACCACATTGTAGTTTATAAATCATGAATTTTCTGTTTCAGACTTTATGATTCAATAAAATATCTAATTAAGTGAAAGTTTTATGCTGACGTAGACTGAAAGCTCATTGATTATGCTGACGTAGACTGAAAGCTCATTGATTATGCTGACGTAGACTGAAAGCTCATTGATTATGCTGACGTCGACTGAAAGCTCATTGATTATGCTGACGTCGACTGAAAGCTCATTGATTATGCTGACGTAGACTGAAAGCTCATTGATTATGCTGACGTCGACTGAAAGCTCATTGATTATGCTGACGTCGACTGAAAGCTCATTGATTATGCTGACGTCGACTGAAAGCTCATTGATTATGCTGATGTCGACTGAAAGCTCATTGATTATCCTTTGGTGTTTGATGGAGATATCAATGCTTTTTATGGTGGTTTTGTGCCTGAAATGGCACTTTAAATAACATGAGAGAACTAAAGATTAACATAATCATGGATGGAAATAGTGATTGGCAAATAGATTGATAGGAAATCTGAAAATATCTTTACCTTTTTATCACATCACACTTAATTCTGCAGGAGTCCTGCCATTCTATGTATATTAGCTGGATGACAGATTTATTGACTATTCAGTAAATGGGGTTTTGGCTGAAAGCATTTACTGGAATTTAAAAGAAGGATGTGATATGAGATTTCATCACTAGTGTATGTTTGTCCTGGTGTCTGATTACATACTATATACATGATTATACCTGTCTGAGATTTTGTTGTTATTACCAATCATCTAAATGAGGATCTATGTGTGCCAGATTACAATTCATACCTTGTCTATATATAGTCTTGTACTGGACAAAAGAAAATGCTGTACAATCATTTGATCAAGTTTTTCACACACATCTGAGATGTAAGCTCTAAACTGTTTATATTTCACAAATATGGCAGTAAACTGAGTTTTAGTTGTGAAAGTATGGGCATAATTTTGAACAATACTACAGCTGTTGTAATGTATAAGGTCATTCAAAGTGAAGTGTCTTATTGTCTAAGGTTCAGGCGTATTGTCAATTATAGATATTGGGTAATTATTGATGTGTTTTGTCCAGGATCCAGTGTAAGGTCATTGAATTTTTTGTTTTGGTCAGAAGATTATTAAATGGTAATCCTTTCTGTATTAGATAATTAGTGAATGCTAAGTTAAATCTGTAATTAATCAATTAAAAGTCAACCATCAGTTAGACCTGTAATCAGCTGTCCAACTTAGAGATCTGTAATTAATCAGTTAAAGGTCAGTCACCAGTTAGACCTGTAATCAGCTGTCCAACTTAGAGATCTGTAATTAATCAGTTAAAGGTCAGTCACCAGTTAGACCTGTAATCAGCTGTCCAACTTAGAGATCTGTAATTAATCAGTTAAAGGTCAGTCACCTGTTAGACCTGTAATCAGCTGTCCAAGTTAGAGATCTGTAATTAATCAGTTAAAGGTCAGTCACCAGTTAGACCTGTAATCAGCTGTCCAACTTAGAGATCTGTAATTAATCAGTTAAAGGTCAGTCACCAGTTAGACCTGTAATCAGCTGTCCAAGTTAGAGATCTGTAATTAATCAGTTAAAGGTCAGTCACCAGTTAGACCTGTAATCAGCTGTCCAACTTAGAGATCTGTAATTAATCAGTTAAAGGTCAGTCACCAGTTAGACCTGTAATCAGCTGTCCAAGTTAGAGATCTGTAATTAATCAGTTAAAGGTCAGTCACCAGTTAGACCTGTAATCAGCTGTCCAAGTTAGAGATCTGTAATTAATCAGTTAAAGGTCAGTCACCAGTTAGACCTGTAATCAGCTGTCCAAGTTAGAGATCTGTAATTAACTGTAATCAGCTGTCCAACTTAGAGATCTGTAATTAATCAGTTAAAGGTCAGTCACCAGTTAGACCTGTAATCAGCTGTTCAAGTTAGAGATCTGTAATTAATCAGTTAAAGGTCAGTCACCAGCTGTTAGTACCTGTAATCAGCTGTCCAAGTTAGAGATCTGTAATTAATCAGTTAAAGGTCAGTCACCAGTTAGACCTGTAATCAGCTGTCCAAGTTAGAGATCTGTAATTAATCAGTTAAAGGTCAGTCACCAGTTAACCTGTAATCAGCTGTCCAAGTTAGAGATCTGGTCAGTCACCAGTTAGACCTGTAATCAGCTGTCCAACTTAGAGATCTGTAATTAATCAGTTAAAGGTCAGTCACCAGTTAGACCTGTAATCAGCTGTCCAAGTTAGAGATCTGTAATTAATCAGTTAAAGGTCAGTCACCAGTTAGACCTGTAATCAGCTGTCCAAGTTAGAGATCTGTAATTAATCAGTTAAAGGTCAGTCACCAGTTAGACCTGTAATCAGCTGTCCAAGTTAGAGATCTGTAATTAATCAGTTAAAGGTCAGTCACCAGTTAGACCTGTAATCAGCTGTCCAAGTTAGAGATCTGTAATTAATCAGTTAAAGGTCAGTCACCAGTTAGACCTGTAATCAGCTGTCCAAGTTAGAGATCTGTAATTAATCAGTTAAAAGGTCAGTCACCAGTTAGACCTGTAATCAGCTGTCCAAGTTAGAGATCTGTAATTAACTGTAATCAGCTGTCCAACTTAGAGATCTGTAATTAATCAGTTAAAGGTCAGTCACCAGTTAGACCTGTAATCAGCTGTCCAACTTAGAGATCTGTAATTAATCAGTTAAAGGTCAGTCACCAGTTAGACCTGTAATCAGCTGTCCAAGTTAGAGATCTGTAATTAATCAGTTAAAGGTCAGTCACCAGTTAGACCTGTAATCAGCTGTCCAAGTTAGAGATCTGTAATTAATCAGTTAAATGTCAGTCACCAGTTAGACCTGTAATCAGCTGTTCAAGTTAGAGATCTGTAATTAATCAGTTAAAGGTCAGTCACCAGTTAGACCTGTAATCAGCTGTCCAAGTTAGAGATCTGTAATTAATCAGTTAAAAGTCAGTGACCACTTAGACCTGTAATCAGCTGTTCAAGTAAGAGATCTGTAATTAATCAGTTAAAGGTCAGTCACCAGTTAGACCTGTATCAGCTGTCCAAGCTGTAATTAACTGTAATCAGCTGTCCAAGTTAGAGATCTGTAATTAATCAGTTAAAGGTCAGTCACCAGTTAGACCTGTAATCAGCTGTCCAACTTAGAGATCTGTAATTAATCAGTTAAAGGTCAGTCACCAGTTAGACCTGTAATCAGCTGTTCAAGTTAGAGATCTGTAATTAATCAGTTAAAGGTCAGTCACCAGTTAGACCTGTAATCAGCTGTCCAAGTTAGAGATCTGTAATTAATCAGTTAAAGGTCAGTCACCAGTTAGACCTGTAATCAGCTGTCCAAGTTAGAGATCTGTAATTAATCAGTTAAAGGTCAGTCACCAGTTAGACCTGTAATCAGCTGTCCAAGTTAGAGATCTGTAATTAATCAGTTAAAGGTCAGTCACCAGTTAGACCTGTAATCAGCTGTCCAAGTTAGAGATCTGTCAGCTGTTCAATTAATCTGTAATTAATCAGTTAAAGGTCAGTCACCAGTTAGACCTGTAATCAGCTGTCCAAGTTAGAGATCTGTAATTAATCAGTTAAAGGTCAGTCACCAGTTAGACCTGTAATCAGCTGTCCAAGTTAGAGATCTGTAATTAATCAGTTAAAGGTCAGTCACCAGTTAGACCTGTAATCAGCTGTCCAAGTTAGAGATCTGTAATTAATCAGTTAAAGGTCAGTCACCAGTTAGACCTGTAATCAGCTGTCCAAGTTAGAGATCTGTAATTAATCAGTTAAAAGTCAGTGACCACTTAGACCTGTAATCAGCTGTTCAAGTTAGAGATCTGTAATTAATCAGTTAAAGGTCAGTCACCAGTTAGACCTGTAATCAGCTGTCCAACTTAGAGATCTGTAATTAATCAGTTAAAAGTCAGTCACCAGTTAGACCTGTAATCAGCTGTTCAAGTTAGAGATCTGTAATTAATCAGTTAAAAGTCAGTGACCACTTAGACCTGTAATCAGCTGTTCAAGTTAGAGATCTGTAATTAATCAGTTAAAGGTCAGTCACCAGTTAGACCTGTAATCAGCTGTCCAAGTTAGAGATCTGTAATTAATCAGTTAAAGGTCAGTCACCAGTTAGACCTGTAATCAGCTGTCCAAGTTAGAGATCTGTAATTAATCAGTTAAAGGTCAGTAGAGACCAGTTAGACCTGAATCAGCTGTTCAAGTTAGAGATCTGTAATTAATCAGTCAGTGACCAGTTAGTTAGAGATCTGTAATTAATCAGTTAAAAGTCAGTGGCCACTTAGACCTGTAATCAGCTGTCCAAGTTAGAGATCTGTAATTAATCAGTTAAAGGTCAGTCACCAGTTAGACCTGTAATCAGCTGTTCAAGTTAGAGATCTGTAATTAATCAGTTAAAGGTCAGTCACCAGTTAGACCTGTAATCAGCTGTCCAAGTTAGA